TCCACGGTCATTGCCAGGTGTTGAACAGTGTTGGACATGGTTATCAAGGTGTAAAAGATGTTGCACAACATTTTCAGGGTCTCTTGGGGACTCTTATCAGTTAGAGTCGGGAGCAGGAAGCAGAGTGATTGAGATCTGGGTCACAGGGGGTCATGACAAGCACACAACTGAGAAAACAGAGAGCTAGAAAAACAAAAACAAGGAGATTTCTACACGAATACTTAAACTCACTGCACTCTTAATTCAGCAGGGGAAAGATAAGGGCAATTACAAGCATTTATTTTGTCAAAAGAAACAAAAGAATCACCCTGAATGGTGTCAGCTTCTATTCAGGAAAAAATTGTTGGTTTTGTGTTTGTTCGTGTTGTTTGCATTTGTTGTTCCTTGTCTGAGGAACATTACAGTAGAATAAGTTTAGCACTCAAAGACAACTTCATCCACTCAGTTATTGATCGATGTCTCCCTCTTCAGGTCATTTGGAGTTCTGCTCTGGGAGATCCTCTCGCTGGGTTACATGCCATATCCTTGTAAAACCAACCAGGAGGTCCTGGAGTTTGTCACCAGCGGAGGCAGGATGGATCCTCCCAAAGCCTGCCCAGGGCCTGTGTGAGTACTGACTCAAGTTGCGGTTTCTGTGGGCTTTTTTTCTTGGTATTTTTTTAAAGACATAATAATGTTTGCTTCATCTTCCACCTTTGATGTGATGTTGATTAAACCTGCTTCTTTTGTCTACTCAGTGAGTGATAAACGGGAATTAAGGAGAAATTCAGAATTTCAACAGTTGTTCATTTGCTGGTTGTTTCTCTGCTTCTGTCGATTACTGTTTAGCTATCGGATCATGACCCAGTGTTGGCAGCACTGTCCTGAGCATCGGCCCAACTTCTCGACTATCCTGGAGAGAATCAACTACTGTACTCAGGCATGCATCTTCTCTAGATATTTAAGACTGCTAAGGTTGCTTTTTTGTGTCTTTTAAATGTTTTTTCTCTGATTATCATTTAATCCTCACTCTTCTTTTTCTCTCTCAGGATCCAGATGTGATCAACACGCCTCTACCTGTGGAATATGGCCCCAACACGGATGATGACGGAGGCACTGTAATCCGTCCTACTGACCCGACATCTACCTGCCTCACTCCACTTCTAGTCTCACACCCTCCCTCCCAGGATTGTCCCTCCCAGCTGGGTTTCTCAGCCATGGGCCTGGGTCCCACCCCTCTTCCCTTGCAGCCTACAAAGCCCCGTCTGCTCCTGCAGAGGACCCAACCTGTCCACCATGAAGTCACATCATGTCGCGAGGTTTTGGAGCCATGCTGGGCTGAGCCCGTTCCTGCCCCTGGTTTGTCAGCGGTCTCCAACTGGCTCCACCCTGAGCCTCCTCATCACCGACCCTACTCCAGAAACAGCTCTTCCTCAGAGAACCAGAGGCTGAAGAACAAGACTAAGAACCTCTGGAACCCCACATATGGATCCTGGGTCTTGGATAACTTAAGGGGGAAGAAGGCACTCACTCACACCCAGTCCATGCCACTCTCGAGCTCCACCTCCAAAACGCAGACTCACAGCCCAGCTTCAGAAAACCACGAGGCTGGCAGTGACGGCACCAGCAGCACCTACCTCAGCCCTAAAAGCCTCTGCACTTCCTCGACTTCATCTTCTTCTTGCCAGGCTCAGGCTGCCTCTAGCACGTCCTCCCATAAGACCCCAGCAGGCGGTGGCACAAAATCTATGGACCTTGCTAAGCTCCAGATTTTCCCCTGTGGCAACGTCAACTATGCCTACGATGAGCAAAGCTATGAGGCAGAAAGCCTGCCGTTGGTTGTGCCCAAAGCCCCAGAAGATGTGAAAAACACCAGCTCTGCTACCAGTGTCTCATCAGGGAGTAGCCTGGGACTAGCATTAGGCCTCCATACCCCCTCATCCTGCATGCCCAAGCTGCTGCTGCTGAAGCGCCATGCCAGCTACGGGCATGAGGATGTGAGGAGACACACCAAAGCTGAGAAACCCACACGTGACAGAGACTCTGGCTTTTCTCTGTCTGAAGACCTCAGTGTTACTCCTATCTAAGAAAAGGATTCAAATGTCACCTGAATCCGTTTCTCAGAAACTGAGACTTTAGCTCTGGAATTTTTAGAATAAAAAGCATGACCATGAAGGCTCCTTCATGGTCAAGTGCCACAGTGTCTGATTTTTGCAGCTCCTAGAATGCTGGAAAACACAACTGAACATTCCCGTCCACACAAACACTCTGTAATACAGAGAGCCAACACTGGAGCCCTGCCAAAGGCTTCTGATACCATAGTAGCTGAAACACTGATGCTGAAACACTGGGAGACTGGCGGCCCTGCACTTCCTCAGTGTCCACACTGTGGGTGAGGGCTGCCAAAACGTACTGCTGTTGATGGACTCCTTTTATACCTGTTATTTTTTCTTTTTGCTGTATTTTATTCATGAAAGCTTTGCTGGCAGTATATGTGAATTTGTACTATTTAGTGTATGACCATAAAAGACTAAAAGAGTATTGAGTCATTGGGAGGAGAATCTCCAAGACGTTTTAATTTCATAGGTCTAAATTTTTTGAAAAGTAATTCCACTCTTTTGATGCTGATGGGCAGAATCACAGCTCTATATACACTTTAGGACCTTATACTACTCGTTGGTACTCTAATATAATTGGTTTCATCCCATACAATGTGAAAACACTTCCTCTGGCAATAACGTGTATTTTCTGACTTGGTAGGTGAAGCACGAGCCTGTTTCCAGCCTTGTTCTCAGCTAACTGGATACTGGTCTATAAATTTAAAATTTGGGGGGTTTAAACTCTTTTTGACTCTGGATCAGTGGTTCTCAAACTGGGGAGGGGCCCCACCCAGTGGAGCAAAGAGCCACTGCAGGAGTGGTGTTAGGAATCAGGGTACACTCAACAAAGCCTTGAGCTGCTTGCTATTGCAAACATCTCATCAGCCAATCAGGTGGCAGCAACTTGATTTAGGCATTTAGGCATGGTCAAGGCGACCCGCTGAAGCAAGCATCAGAATGGGGAAGGAAGGTGATTTATGACCACGCTGTACCCATCTTCTGATCCAATAGAGCAACTTTTGGGATGTGGTGGAAAAAGGGATTCACATCCTGGATGTTGGAACTTTGTGATGCAGTCATGACAGTATGGACCAAAATCTCTGAGGAATGTTTCCAGCACCTTGTTGAATCTATACTATGAAGAACTGAGGTAGTTCTGAGGGTACATGGGGTCTACCCCTGCATTAGTAAGGTGTATCTAAATCGATTGAGGTGTAAATATAACTTTATGTATGCTAATGCTTTCGTGTGGAATTGCATCTTTTTCACAGTGCGCTAAAAATTGTGGGATGGGGGTCGTGAGCTTGAGTGTACCAGAAACAGTCTGAGAACCACCGCTCCAGATTGAAATAATGGATGTTAGCTTCTGAAGAAACCGGCCCACCAAATTAGACACATTTGCTTTCTTTGAGGGTTTTATTTTTGTGGATGAGGTCTCGTTCCCCTTGTCCCAATATTTACTTGGCTTTAGAGATGTTTGAAGAGTCCGAGTTTGATGACGACCTTGCAGCTAAGAAAACAGGAAAGCTATTTTTGTACTTGCTCCTACTTGCTTACACTGGACTAACATTACATTTGTAGCTGTTTGTTGTTGATGTTTTGTTTTTGCATTTGCATTCAGTCATGTTAATGATGAATCTGTAATCGATCACTGCCATTCGATACGTACTGCTACACTGCCTCTATAGATGTAGTGCTGGTAGTACTTACGTTTACTCAACAGGGGGAGGTATTCAACTCTGAAATACCAAACAAGTTGCTGTATTTATGCTTTCAGGTTATTCTTATTTAATCAAGTTTATAGTTGTACTTGGTGTGTGACATTATTTTGAGCCTGAACATGGCAATATTATATTTTTTGATATGTTGTTACATTTATGTAAGAGTTCTGTAGGCTTACTGTGTGTTATAAGATAAGACCTGCTGATATTTGTGTCTTTATCTGCTGTTTATCTCTTTAAGAAAAAAAACGTTTGTGCCATATAGCAATACTGATTACTGTGGATTGTTTTTATTCTCATTTTCTTAAAGAAGAAAAAAAAAAGACCCTCATCTTACTCATAGTTTATATTTCTTATGTCCCGGTAGATTTTATTTCACACTCATTTCAGTTTTTATTCCTGTATTTTTGTAGCTGAGGATGCCTCAAACAAAAGTGCAAAGACATTCTATGCAATATACCGTCTTTACTTTCATCTCACCTAACTGTGCCCCAAATAAATCAACATATATCAACCTCACTTGTGTGAGTATGATCAGTCACACACATTTATATCCCTGCAAAAGGCCGTCAACTCTGTCCAGACTAACACGCGTAACACATATAGTGTGAAATAGTGTTCCACCACTAAAGATAGAAGAGAAACGTTGTTCCCATTTTAATTTCATTTACATTTGATGACGTCCATCACCGGAAATAAAAACGATTACAAGTTTGATCACAGGAATGAACTTGATTAAAGAGAAATAATCTGCTATACAATGAAAGACAGTTCACCAGAGACTAACACACATAATACACTCCAGTCATTACGCAGTAGACTGTGCTATACTGGGAATGTGCTATATTTTGTAGTTATAACTGTGAGGTCTGTGAGCCAAACAGTTACATACTGAACATACGCCCCAACCTTTAATAATACACTGAAGGCTGATGGTTACAGTAAGTGGTGTAACGTGAGAATGAGTCTGTAACTTGTGCTCGTTCGCTCTCTTCTTGAGACAATGAACAGGCACATTTTTATGAGGCTTTTCACTCGTAACATCCTGAAAGTGAAATGCACAATGCCTGCACTTCTACTTCTGTTCATCATGTAGGAGGCTGAATTAGTGTCGGTGCATTTTCTCAATCATTTTCTTTATAGTGACAAAACTTCCTGCTTCCCTCTGTTCAGCATCCGTCGCACAGCGTCGTTTTTTTTAGTCGGTGTCGATGCTAAATGTGGTCACATTACATTTAAAACGGTGAAAACCTGAGCCTCGGATCTACGTTTGATGCCCGTCATGTTCTTGTTTTCATTTTTAGTATTCTGTGCTTTAAAAAAAATAACCCCGACCAATCAATCATATCTGAAACCATCCCGCAGTGTCCATCAATATAGTTGCTGTTCCTTAAACCCGTTGAGTCAAAGGTCACTGGCTGTGTGTTTCTGTATTTTGGCTGTTTTCTTTGGTAACCGAGCTACCGATTTCTGCGCCGGCGGCACTGCTCACAGACTCCAGTGTGTGGATGAGGTTTTCCAAACCCCACAGGTAACCATCCTCCCGGTTTCCCTCCTGCCAGGGAATGTCATGACTTAATGTCTGGCCCTCTGGTAATGCCGTGGTCTTGCCAAAGTCAATAATCCAGACTTGCGCGTTGCCCGTATGGTCATGGATAAAGAGGAGGGAGCTGCCAATGACCTGATAAAACAAAAAGCTGTTAGTATTAGCTTTTGATTCTTCATCTTCTGCTTTTAATAACCACTCTTGCATCAATACAGATGGGCGACATATTAAAAAAAAACCTGCAGCAGTACTTTTTCTTTTTAATCCAACACATCGTTAGCTGTTACATGACGTACAACTGGCCAGAAATAATGTGATAATTCAGCCACGGTTCAGTGTAAGCAGTACGGATACACGGCCGCGTATCTATGTAAACTTTAACAGTCCCGTTTCATGTTGAAATATTTTTTATGCAAGTAATATTATTATGTAACACTCAGTACCCGGTGTGTGTTTGATGGCGATCTCAAGCCTATCATTAAAAAAAAGAAATAAGTAAGATAATATTTTCTAAGAAAAAAAAAGAAAAACTCTTTGTTCCCCTGAGTGGAGCTTCGGAGGAAGTGCCAGGTGCAAAAATATTATTTGGCTGCTTTGTTTGCTTCCCTTTAATTTGCCACACATCTTTACTGTACGCAGAGGAGCTCTCACCTCGTGTCGCTTGAAGAACTCTGATGTCTTCAGGGCTTGTTGGATCTCTGTCAGTTTGCTCAAATATGACTTCTGTGGTTGAAAAAAAAATTAAAATAATTCATATATTAGATGGATTAGATAGCTGGAACACAACAGGATGTAGCAAGAGTGTATATTTGAGAACCTCCTCCCTAATAGAAAACTCAAACAGCATCACAGTGCGAATATTTGCTCTGTGGTTTATTCTCGTAGATCGCTTCGAGGCTGTTTTTGTTTGCCTTTAGAGCTTTTTTCAAATGTAAAGGCAGAGCCTACAAACAATTTCTATCTGTTCAAACACTGAACGCGGATGTGGGAGCCTATTCGGCTGCTGCATTCGTAGCTGATGAGCCGTTTCAGGTTAACGCCTGCACCGCTGCACTGTGTGTCTACTCCCGAGTCCTTACACGGATGAATAAAAATGTGCGTGAAGAGGATAACTGACTGCCACGTACCACGATGTTGACGTTTCCACCGACAAAGTCCTTGAAGACTTGGATGACATCCCGCTTCGATCTTGTTTTCTTGAAGTCAGTTCGACATGTGCCGTCACTTTTCTAAAGAAAAGAGAGAGAGAGCCAACCGTTCACACCTATGGGCAATTTAGATGCACCGAGTAGCCTAATCCCACTAACTGCATGTCTTTGGACGGGGAGAACATGCAAACTCCACACAGGAATGGTGGATTCGAACCCAAGACGTTCTTGCTGTGAGGCCACAATTCTAATCACAGTGTGGCACCATGCCTCACATGAACATTACACAATAAAATAAGTTCAATTCAAGATAATTATCTGGTGTGTCAGCTGGAATTTAAGGTTGTGTAGCACAGGAAGAGTAACTAGGAGGCCACATGACTCAGATGTTAAACTCAGATTTAAAACTGCAATTAATAAACAATTTTTGGCTGCAGACTTAATATATATGAAGCCACGCTATCATTCACTTTCACTTTCTTTCAGTCTCCATCAGCACCACTGCTAAGTGCCTAACTACATTCGGTGCCTATTGCTGTCTCTGTTTTGCTGTTGTTTGATGTTGCGTAGCTGCAGCAAGCTTATCAAAGATCTTTAACAAAAAGGGGATGCTTGGTGTAGCCAATAGTGACTGATCAGAGTAGTGAGAATGAAAAAAAGAGTAACATTGAAGGCAACTAAAAGAGCGACCTTGAATAAGCTAAAAAAGATCCAAAGAGCAGAGAAGTTCAGTCTGAGTTCATTGTCAGTGAGAAAGCCTTCATGTTACAGGCAGTTATTTCCCCAGTTGTTGTCCAAATACTGGTGTAAGGAAATTCAAATATTAAATATTATATGCTTTACCTTACAGTGCCTGATATGACTTATATATACACGGATTCTGATCCTTTGTGTAAATTTATTTTTTGCTTCCTTTACACTAAAAATATCCCACACCATAACACATCATTCCTTTTACCTTGATTCCCTCTATCCTGAAGCCCAGGGTGTTAGTGGAGCTCATGGACTCCCTCCACTGCATGTAACGAGGCTTGGTTACCCCCCGCTGGGAATGCTCGTGAGGAGTTGGCCCCTCGCTGTCTACCTCCACCATTTTGTTATAGAGGTCTTCTCTCGGCTTGGGCCGTTCCCTCGCTCTCACAAGCTCCTCCTCCAGGTAGGTCCTTCAACAAGAATGGAGCAAAGGATTTTCAGGTGCTGAATTTAGGCTATTGGCATTTGAAGTGAGAAGTTTAAAGGCACAGAAATGTCAGTGGACTTTCAGGGTTTGTCTGGCCTTAATCACTTATCTTGAGTAATTAAGATGAAAGATAAGTAAGATTAGTCAACACTCGCCTACTCCTTTTTCATGCTCAACTTTACAGAGCAATTTTTCTTAAGTTGTGCTAAAAGCCAAAGAGATCTACACCCTTCTAGCAAATGTTAGAAGAGCTTATCAGTGCACAGAAGAGGGGGGGAAAGAAAACCTGCAACTCTAAAAGCCTTTATTTCTGTTTATGAAGATTCCAGCAGCACACTCACAGTTGGCATAAAGTTACGTGCAAACAGATGCTAATTTCATTTTCAGTTTGCGAGCCACACTTCCTCTGTGCTGAAGAGGGAAGCTAAGAGGAGACTCCAGTGTGCAGCATTTAGCTGAGTGAAAGCGTGAGTGTGTGTTTGTGCAACTTAGCGGTTTTGCAACTGTGTGGTTGAGAGTGTTTTTGACAAAGGGGAGTCTCCAGGGACACCCTGAGTGTGTGAAACTCTGTGTATGCATACGAATAGTTTAGAAATAAAGACACGCAAACACCAAACAGGCAATGAAAAGCTATGCTGGGTGTTTCTGTAAGTGTAGTGTGTGTAACTCTTCTGCGTGTGTGTTTTTGTGAGTCAGTGTCTCTAAGTCCGTGTGCGTATGTGCGTCTGCGTATTTTTTTTGCTGAACCGGAAACAAAACCCTCAGAGGGGTGAGTGTCAGTACCTGCATGCCTCTGCATGCACTAACATATGCATGTATACGCTCATGTGTGCATTCAAGCATATATGTATGCCATTGTGTGTTTGTATGCGCGTGTGCGTGCGCATGTGTGTGTTTGCCTATTTGTGCACATGATACACTGAGACACCCCACCCGCTGTGGCAGGAAGCCAAGCATATAGCCTGCAGTTAGAACAGGTGTTCCCTTGTAGAGCAAAACCACTTTAAGCTGTATGTACCATCACTCGCCTGCACTTTCCTATTAATTCATTAAAAAAAACACTAGCAGCTAACAACTAGCCGAATAGTGTGGTAGTGATAATATATATATATATACATATTAATGCAGTTACATGTATTACGTGAATGTATGGCTCTATTATCAAAAAATACATGTGCAGAAAAAATAAAAGCAGTGCATAAAAATTAATTACTTGTAAATAAGACAGTGAAGACATAACTTTCATACCTTACTCCCATTTTGCAGTCCATAACATTAGGAAGGTCAAAGTTTGCCAGTAAATCAGTCATATGAAGGAAAGACTCTCCGTCTTTTTCCACAACACCGTGGTATCCAGGCACAAACGGGAGCAATGCGTCATTCCTCAGCTTCTCGAAACACTGCATCTCGTTCTCTGAGAACTTTTTCAGAATGGTGCCCTCATCTGCTGCTTTGAAGTTGCCTGAGATTAGATGAAGACAGGAATGAACAACGGCCTGATTTTGCCAGTGTGAGGTAAATATACCTGCATGTGAAGACTTGGGAGATACTGGGAAGTTAAAGTGTCCTTCAATGTAAATTCATTGTCTGTGACAAGTAGGTACTCTAATGTAATGTTACATTTTCTTTTAGATTAAATTAAATGACTCGTAACCAAGCAAAGATTTCTGTGGATGAAAAACAAGGAGGTACCTAAAGTTGCTGCAGTTCTTTGATCGGTCACTTGAGGCAGGTTCCAAAAGAACCACCCTCTGACCCTCATGTAACAAATACCAAAGTCAGTCATGCTTAAAAATGGCTTTAGTCTTTCCCATTTCTTTGCCTCTTCTTGACAACAAAACAGGGCTGAAATTGTATTAAGACGCAATAAAAGCCTTGAAATAGGCTATTTTAAACGAATAATAGGATAATAGCGGCTATCAGTCAAATATGCCATGCCACTAACTTTGATCCTTACTACACACAGACTGAAATCCTATAGAAAGTTCAGTGTGTGACATCTTTGAATGGCAGGTGGATTCTTTGACTAGGTTCAACTCCTTTCATCTACCTAATTTAGCCATAGAACTTTGTGCTTTGACTGTATTTGTTTTCTGGAGCACTTTAATACGATTATCTGACAAACAACATTAGGAATGGACTGTCCAAAATGTATATTTGTTGCATAACAATCTACTGTTTTAAAAGTATGATAGTTACTTAGTACTAATTAGCAGGCATTGTGTCACCCACACAGTCGCAACGCAGCCTACCAGCCTCTTGTCTGAATATGTTCACATCAGGTTCCAAAAAAGCAACCTGAAGCTTCAGAAAGAGCTTTCAAAAACTAGTCCTAGCTACGTCCATCTTTTATATACAGTCTATAGCTGGGGTGCAATTGTAATGGATTTTTCTTGCCAAATTGTTTTTTAGTTACTGTCAGCTTTTACCAGGCGATGTTGGGAGAATTTGGTACTTTCATACAACAGCAGATTTTCAGGAAATGCTTTGGTTTAGTCGGGGGGCAGCACCTGGAGAGGATGAGTAGGCACCATAAGACATGACTCCCTTGCTACGTGTTCTTCTCTACTGGGCATCACAAACCTCTGTAATACAGAGGTGGCAGTTCAATGACTAATGTCTGGTCTGACATGATTAATGTATAGCAAAGTTCAGGGCAGCAATAAATATGGGGAAACAACTTCAGTATTTACTTCCACTAAAGTGGTGGACAAATATTATGTAATTTGTCCGAGTCAAGTGTGGTTTATGTGAATAGATCACACCTTTATGCCCGGCTAACTGGACCCAGTTTATTCTTTTCCTCTGGGACACACTGAACGGCCAGTGGACGAACGTCTTTAGCTTCCACCACGGTGGTTTGCTCTGGTGAAGTCATGCAAGAGAACAAAGAGAAAGGAAATTAATTCATGTTGAGTTAAAAGAAATACAACATTTCAAAACCTGCTAAAGTTAAGAATTATTTTAAGCACTTGGGTCTAACTGTGGGCTCTTTATTGGTCTGATAGCAGGAAGGAGTGGCGTTAACGGGCCTTCGTCCACTCCACTTTCTCCACTTTGTTCACTGAGTAGTTATCTGATCACACGGAAACTCTGCCCAGTGAGGCTGATGCCAGGTTTTTGGTTTTCCTCTGCATGAAACCCCCTATCTAGGTCAGTTAAATGCCATTTCAGTGGAAACTCTTATCTCATTCAGCATCTCTATTCAGCATCTCCAACGCGGCGTGGTGATTTGCTGACAACTTTGATTCACAGTGAGAGAATCTAAGTCTCCGAAACCTCCTGCTGAAAAACCAGGAGCCTGTTTGCAGCTTAATTCATTTCCTGGTTGCAGTGGAAAAATCTGGAATGCACCTTTAAGTAGGATTTGTCATCTTAGCTAACCAATAAAAATTTAGGAGATAAAAAATAAAATGACATGACTCAGGAGTATTCCATGTTTTCTTGGTGAATCTGTTTTGTTTTTTATGGATTGCTTTTACCATCATCCCCAACTTCTTCTTCTTTCTCTGTCTCTGTCTCACACCACGCTCAGAACAAACACATTAACAGCTTGCATTTTTCCAGAAACACAAAAATGCTTCACACTTACGTGGAACTGCCTGTTTATCTTTCCTCCAAGAAAACTTACCACATCTTAAATAAAACACTAAGATTTCTGTGCTTCTTCAGATCATCTCAAAACTAATTAGAAGTGCAACTAAAGCAAAATAAGTGCATTCCCACTTTTGGGATAGAAAGACCAGTGTATGTCCTTGGAGTTTAGGTTTTAGCCTGGGGAGGTCATTACATTCTGTGTGCTCTGATCGAAAGAGGAAACGAAACAGGGGCTCTTCTCTCAGTGAAACCCTCAGCTCATGCTTGAGTATCTCACAGTTTACCATCCTCGCTAATAGCAGAAGTCTTCAGGGGCCAGCCGGGGCTCTCTTAAATGTCAGGTGATATGCTTCACTTGATTTTACTCTTACTTGTTTGCTGATAAGACTGCACTGTGAAGACTTCCACAAGCAAGCAGATTTAAATTCAGATGCTTTTCTTGATTTATCAGTTAATGTGAGTACTTTAAGTGCACACATTTTCAGCACATTAGTGAGGAAAAAAAACGTGAGAAAAGCTCGAGTGACTACTGGCTGAAATTCAGTGGAATCTTAGTATTTAGGAATAATTTGCTGTCATCCACAAGCAAGAGGAACCAGAGGCTTAGATCTGAACTCTGCGCTTTATTGTAAACATAACGACCCTGCAGCTCTTAGCCCATTATTTAGATTTTAAACACAGTCTGACATTGAAACTTCACATCGTTCACCCTGCGCTGCACTGACCTTGATGACGGAAGAGTTTGGACTGATAACACTGGATATTATACTGGTTTCACTCGCATGTTGGAACCTGAAAAGCACGGTCTGCTTACAGTGCGTTTTTGCTAGAGAAAGAATAGCAGCTCAAAACATGCCTCGGCAAAGGTGATGGAAAAAAGAAAAGCACTTAAGAGTTTTACTTAGGAAGAAAAAAGCACCAATGGCGCAACAGTGAAAAAATGTGTTTGCAAGTAAAGTGACAGCATTCTGAGCTCTGCTTATTTAATATTAGCAAAGTCTAATGAAGAGTTATTCTGTGGTAAGCTGACATCTGTGACCTATACCTATTATTATGCATGACATTATGAGGTTGTTGGCAACGATGCATGTTTCCATGACTGATTATGTTACTCTGATTTTGTCTAAAGGAGATCAGCCTCCACAGACACAGAGACTCATGTTAAATTAGATGACTAACTCGGTTCAATACAGAGATATTCACAGGTCATAAAACCATATCAGAGCTTAAAAGAACATATGTTAAATTTTAAAAAGCATGGAATTTTTTTTTAATGATAAAAAGTATAGTTTAGATCTTAAAACAAAAATGCAACCCAAAAGTGAAGATGAGAAAAACTTGAAAAACTGTGCAGAAGAAAGCTTTTCTCTTTCTCCATCATCTGAGTAATTGCATAGAGATCTAATAAGAGCAGGATACCAAAAAGATTTTTTTTTAAACAGTGGCTGAATCCTTAACAGTGTCTTGCATTTTAGTTGCTTTTTGCAGCAAAGTGCTTTAAAGTTAGGTAGTTATCAAATAATGTCTCATAATTATTCACCAGCTGTGGAATAATGCGTGTTTGCTCTTTCAAATTAAAAGGAATCCAGCTCCAGGACTAGTGTAATGTTTGCTTAAAGGTCACCCTTCAACAATGTTTTTCTGCTCCGTCAGACGCACCTTTCTTTGTAACACCGTACTGTGTGAGTGAGACACTGACTCAACAGGCTGATCTGAACAAAGGAGTCAAAAACAACACTCCAAAAAGAAAAGCTCTTACTCACACACACACATAGCTGAAATCAGACTTCATGTGACTCAGTCAGGTTCTGCTAAACCAGCCACGATAACTCATGCCTTCCACGTGAAGCCACCTTGACGTGGTAATTGAATGCAAAGCACTGCGAGATTGGCAAATGAACGCGTCCACCTGCTGTTTAGTCGGCTAAAAACATCTCTTAATCTGTGTGCAGCGTCTGCCCTGAAATGTAAACAAGTAAAAGCTACTGATACGTGAGTGTATTTGACTTCCTGAGGCGCTTCTTTGTTAAATGTCAAAGGCCAAATCTAAAATTGGGTACTGACCACAAAAACTTTATTACACAATGACAAGTTAGCCTATGCTACTCTGTGTGTGGGCGTCCTTGTGTGGGCTGGAGTGTGGGTTGATGGGAGAGGAGCATAACAGTAGCTTTTATCAGCGTTGACACAAGTGACATTTTCTTTCCATTTTAAGTTACAAAAACGACCTTTTATTTAGGAAGGAATCTAACAGACTGGACACCGTGACGTTCAGCGAGATCGTCCTCTGGGTCACACGGGCCATGTGTGTTCAGTCTGTTTAAAAGAAAGTGACAGATCCGGACCTTGTATGGAAAAGCAAAGAGAAATGGTCAGCTTTTCAGGCGCACGCTAGCCAAGAGAAAGTCTGAATCTAAGAGTGGTGACAATGAAGACAAAAAGCAGATTATGCTTTCAGAGTGAAGAAACACAGATGTGACTCACTGTGATCGCACTCAACTTCCCAGCAGCTCATGTGAAGCGACAGCTATCGAGCTCCAGAACTGCAAAAACATTCTGTTCGGATGTAATTGTACAATAATCAGAGAGATCATGTGATTTGATAGACAGCTCAGTTTTAATGCCCACGCAAGCATGTCCCCTGACACTTGCCAGCCACAAGAATGTGAAATACAAACAAATTTCCACCCACAGTGAGGGTGAAAGGCCAGTCCTTCAACACAAGCCTGTGTGCTTAAGGAGGGAAAAGGCCGAGACTTACAGTTTCAAAATATATCAAGCTTGACGTTCAACAGGTCCGTTTTTGACATTAATAATTTAAATTACTTGAGCTGTGCACAATCTTTTGTGCAAAACATCCCATTGAAAAAAAGGTTGTATTTTTCTCTCAAGGAGTTTCATGTGGCCTTGAAGATAAAAACCAGTAAATAAGATGATACATAACTCTGACATCAGTCATCCAACACATTCCATGCAACAAAGGCTAACCAGCTTTTAGCAGCATTTTCATGTCAGTTTCTTTACTTACAGCCTGGTCATTAATAGAATGGGAAAGGCTCTAATGACCAATTAAAAATAAGGAGCGATAACATCACTTAAATGGGTGAGAGTGACCCAGAGTTTCACAATGCTCCTGTGCTTTCTGCCAATGCTATTGAAAGACCTCAAAGCATCTTCATACATATGTATTTGTATAGAGAGCAAGAGACACCTGTCAGACCAGTATAACTCATAACTGAAATTTCCCAGAACACACTTCCATGACCAAAACAAGAGATGCAAGATAGCTTGAAATGTAGACGTGACTGGTTTCCCAGGGGGATGTGTTTCTGGAGAAATCAGACTGTGTGTTTATGTCGTTTGAAAACTAAACTAAACAATATAAAATGAAAGGATGCTGTTATCACTCTGTAATTGCCTGTTCTCTGCAGTAAAACAGTCCCCGTGGGTCTTTCGTTAGGAAGTAGCTTGCTGTTTAAGTGCTGTTTATTTTATTGCTTTGCCCTCTTCTTCTTCTTTTTTAACCCTCAGCTCTTCACGGTGTAATAGCACATTTGCAAAGGCACACAGATGGGAGTCAGGATTGCAGTTTGAAAATAAAAAAATAAAAAAAACCCAGAGTGGTATTTCTCCACCTTTACTGTTGTTAGCTGTGCATTCGGTTATTTTTCACTGTTTAAGAGAAAATGAACCGTCGAGGCGACCTTGCACCGACCATTAGATCGCTATCTCTTTGCAGTTTACTCACTTCTCCGGGCTCCACCAGATGCTCTAAAGTGACGATGCCTTTGCTTTTGCTCTCGTTGTCACTCAGTAGATCATCCTCGGACTCCACGGCGGAGGATCCCGTGGAGGAGATCGAAGAGTTGGACAGTTTCCTGCGCAGCGTACCGTCCACCGCCCGATCCCAGTCCTCCTGCTGCATCTCCCGGGAGCAGCCGCCCCCCTCCGGGGTGATGGTGACCTGCGGTACCCGGGGCGCATCCATCACAATCGGCGGTCCGGACGACGGAGCGATCTGAGCGGCTGTCTCAATGAGCTCATCGCAAATCTGCGAAGACTTGGCAGCCACTCTTCGCTCTAAACGAGACGCCTCATTTATCCCACTCACCGAGAACCCGAAGTCCTTGGAGCTCTTTCTCCTGCACTCCTTGGGCATTGGCGAGCTGAATTCGTCGTGAGAGCGCACGACTACAGGCGCAAAGACGCGTCACTCTAACCTTCAAATCTGGTCATTTCACTTTGAGAAAAGTTCAAACGCGACGGAGACCAAAAGGAGCGCGTATCCACTCGGTGCTCTGCAGCTCTCCGTCGCTGCTGTCCAAGCGTAAACGCATATAAAAAGAAGAAAAAAGAAGCCCCTGCTCTGCACCCTTCGCCGACTGTAAGGTAAAGGGAACCCCTCTTTGGTGGCTCGCGCTTCTACGCGGTTTACTCACGCGCGCGCGCCACTGTGCGCGCACCCACACACAACTGCACGGCGTTTATTATCTTCCGCATTGTCTTTCTCGCTTCCTGACTGAAACGTTAAACCAGCTGACACGTTAAGTTTTTTTTTTAATGTTTGCAGACTTCCTTCTGACTTGCTTCTCTAGACAAACCTGAGCCGAAACAACAGCGGACACCTTCAAATCGATCTTTATCAATCGGACACATTGAGCGGAAAAAATGCTAATCTAAAGAAACAGAAACGCACGCGCTCACATCCACAGAAGGGGGCATCTGTCATAACTGCGTGAAAACTTCGAAATATTTTTTTCGAAGTTTTCTTATCAAAGGATGTACACGCGCGCGCACGGACACACACACACACACACACACAAAGTAGAAGAATGCATAAGATGTTGATTCGTGACTATTTCTAGCTCAGTAATCAAATGTAAGCAAATATATAATATGTTAACTCCTCCGCTCAAGCAGCGCGCAGATGATACTCGTGTAAGCGAGTCTGCTTGCAGCTCCTGTTCATCTGTTATAAATATGAACTCCAGCATTGTTCACAAGTCACACTGCGATGAGAGGAAACCCTGTATCAGCACTGGTTCAAAGAGGGGCTTTCTCACTATCATCTCATAATCACGATGACAGAAGGACTGCATGGGGCAGTGCATGGGCTTCTAGAAGAGCAGCAACCTTTCTTCACCAGAGTAAAGCACCTTCATCGCAGATGCAGCATTTGCAATAAAAAGAAATGAAAACTTCAAATGAGACTAAAGCAAAAAATCAAAATGAGGTGATAAGATTTCTAAAAGGAGAAAAGGAAAGGAATCACTCATGATTATTTGTCAAACACAGCGCAGGGAATGTTATGGCATGGAAGACGTAGCCAGTGTGGAGTGTACAGGGCTGTACTTTCTGCTAAGATTCAGACAAATGCTCTAAAACTGACTGGACGCAACTCCACAGTATTCTGAAAAAGCAATCCAAGTGTTTCTCAAGGCAAAGAAATGTTCTTAGTGGCCATGTTAGTCACCTGATTTAAAGAGCATGCTTTTCAGTTACTGAAGACAAAACTGAGGGTAGAGACCCACAAACAAGCAGGATCTGAAGGCGACTGCAATAAAGGCTGAGTATTAAAAACTGTTTTATGTTTCAAATTCTGTGAGTTCATCCAGTTACTCTGGAAATGTGTCAGTGTGCATGCAATTCCTAAACAGTTATTTTAGTACTTTTATAAAATGACTTAAGTTTTAAGGATTAAGGCTGACCTGCACTTCAGTCACTCCTACTGTGCTGGTGTACAAAGGCACAACTATAACACAAATAGTGTCATTAAAACTTATGGACGCAAGTGTGAGAATGTTTGTCTATTGGTTTGATTGGTTGGTTGTTTGATTTCGGTAGCTCCGTAGTTTAGTGGTATACACACATGCCTGATGTGCAAAAGCTCTAGTTCAATGCTGGATACAACAGTCCTTTTGGGCTTGTTTCAGGAAGGACATCTGGAGTAAAAGTAAAACATGTGGGGTTGTGGTGTCCCCCTGTGAGTAAGGGTTGCTGTTTTTGTTTTATTGAGTATTACTGTCTGACTACATTTGGTTTTATTTAAAAAGGAAAGAAAAACAACTCAAATGATACTGTATTTTATAAATAATGAGCATGTTGGGGTTATTTTCAAATGAGACACAAATTATACTTGCGAGGAGGCCTTCCTTTCATTTCCACTTTTTTCATTTTCCAAAGCCATCCATTGGTCAGGATTTGACCACTTGGCGGCTCAACTCTGGCCACCTTTAATAATCCTACATACCGAAAGGTTGCTGTAAGAAATTCTGAATTATGTTAGCGAAAACTGTACTGTGCATTTTGTCTGCACTGCCTTCTGCTGTTGTGCAACATCTTCAGCCTCTGGGCCTTGGTGGTTCTGCTTCAGTCGATATACAAGCAGCCCTGATGTGGACCTCTTTACCACACCCCTATGCCACATCGAAGGCCACCTCCACTTTACTGTAGCCCTAGAAATAATTAATACTTTGATGGTCTCTGGGCATGGCTCTATGATCTTGTTGGATGAACCACACGTGTGTGTGCTAGTCTGAAGGAGAAAGTCTTTGCTCATCATCACATTGGAAGTTGATACATACCTCAGGACATGAGGTTAGGGGTTAAATTAGTGTTTTTTCTAAAGTTAAGGGGGGATTAAAGATACAGTTTGGAAAATCAGCTCATTCATGCACACGAAAAAATCTTCATCACAAAAAACCTGCATGTGCTTAGTAATAAAATCTCAGTGTTTTACTCACATAAACAGTGATTACAGTAGTTTACTTGCACTCATTGTCAAGGTGGTGTTGAGCTGATGTTGGTGTGCATTGTTAATGCTTTCTCTGCAGAAGGCATGGGTTAACAGATGGAAGCATAAGCTGAGCAGAGAAAGTTTATGCTCATTTAGAGCTATTTTCAGCTGCTCCCTTCACCAGATGTCACCACAGCAGGTAGTTCCACATGTTTGATTTGGCAGATTTTCTTGCCAGATGCCCTTCCTGACACAGCCCCCAAGGAATTTGTGTCTCGGAGTTTTCTTACTTATTAGGCAAATGAGTAAAACACCACATTATAGCAACAGAAGGCTATGGAGGCTATGCTAATACTGAATAAAATAAATAAATGAATAAAAGTCCTTAATCAGTGTAGTTTGTTTGCTTGTTTGTTTTAAATTCTGTCAACGTAATTCTGGAAAAGTATGGCAAAACAGGCTGAATGGAACATTTGGGGACCCCAAGCAGATTAACCCAGAAATCTTTTATTTTTATATTAAATTCTATCCAGCAGGCGGCGCTAATGCACCAATAAGTCGGTTGGTAAAGCAAGAACAAAGAAGAAGAAAAAACAAGAAAGAATTCCAGTTATGTAAAGAAGAATTATTTTAATCATGTCGGTATTTACTGATGGATCTAAAAATGGAGCGAGTAGTCATGAGGGAGTGTGTGTATATACTAGTTAATCTGCTGTTCTGTGGGATTCCTTGCCGATGATGGTGTGGAAGGCAGCCTTAAGCTAAAGTTTATAAAGGTAATGAGGAAACTGTTGAAAAGTTTATGGTAAGTTGTTGGTAAGAAAGGCAGCGAAGGATTTGTGGCAAAAGATATGGACACTTGAATCAAGCAAACAGAAATCGACCAGAGTCATGACTTCAAATGGAAAATACAGAAAGGAAAAGGAAGACCTGAGAACACTGCATTAAATCAAGCCTTTATTTAACTGCTAAATATAAATAACAGAGGATCTTCGTTCCTGACACAAGAGGAGGATGGACACACACCGACACCTTAGTTCACAGATTCACTTTGTCTAAGGTGTGTTTCTGGGATTTCACACAACCCAGGATTCAAATCATGAATACATAACGGGCTTGGATTTACATCATTATGAATGAAATGCGCTCTATTTGGAAGCAGCCGGACCCCCTCCCCTTTCGACGGGTTGTGTGTGGGACTTTAAATCATCAAACGTAAATTTTAAATTGTTATTGATCCTTTTATCCCGAGTCCTAAAGTGTACATTTATTTTCTTACTCTTCCTATATATATTGTTTGTTTACTTGCACTGCTGTAACTGGAGCCTCGTCGTCTCGTCTCTATATACTGGACTGTATGTAGCGGAGATGACAATAAAGTTTACTTTGACTTCAGCAGCAAGCAGGCGCACCGAGGGCTCTCGCGCTCACTTTTCGTGTATAGAATTTCGAAAAAACATCGGTGCAAATTATAAGTCTGTATTATAATGACTGGTGTTTTCGTGTTTGTTGGTTTGTGTTTATTTTGTTTTATTTTGCGAGTTGGTTATTAGATGCTGCTCCAGCCAGAGAAACCCCCGCCGCCCCGCCCTCTCCTCTCTGCGCCGCAAGCAGCAGGCGCACCTCACAAACGGAGGGCGCCCTTACTCCCAGCAAATGGGCGATAGAAAACCGATCGGTGCCTATGCCATTCCCAATATGCGCTGGCTGACGTCGGGGCAGCATGAGTACGAGCAATTTTTAATTTTTTTATTTTTTTTTACCGACGCCCGTGATGCCGCCCCGGGCAACCGCCCGTATCTAAAACCGCTACTAAACGTAGCTATCGAACTGTGCTAGCATTTTGTGCGGCTAGCTAGCTTGCCTACTTGCTAGGTAGCACGCTGGCTGACACGGCGCAGAGAAGCGTAGTTACGGACCAGCAAGCTGACGGGTACTTTCCTGGTTGTGCGGTGACATTTATTTTATTTAGACGACGGGAACGATCTGACGCACACCTTCTTCAACCCCGACAGGGAAGGCTGGCTCTTAAAGCTCGGTATGTATGGGGCGCCTCAGAGGTGTAAAATTAACCTTCACCATGGTGGTTCATGTTAGTTGCAAACGTGTGCTGTATTTTTGTTAATAGATTAACATAAATTTGTGATAGACATCACATAGTGAGGTGCCACAAAAAACTACAAAAATGGTGCCTATGACCAACGAATGACGTTTGCCTGTTACCGCTGTCGCATGCGAGCATGCAAGAATAAATGTTAAGCACCTAGGGTAGACTGACTCGATTAAATATTTCACCAGATTCACTCCAGAATAATTAAAACCTTGGAGAAGCAAAATAATAGCAAATGTAGAGGGCTGGGGTTGATCGTGCTGAAGGTGGAAGCATGATGGTGCGAGACAGATTTGCGGGCAGCATGAGCTTCAAACACAGGGGAGACTTTGTTGTCAGGCAAGTGAGATCACAAGGAAACAAAGAGCTAGGCAAAACTAAGTTGGCCTTGGCAAAAGGTTTCAAAGGAAATTTGTGGTGCACCTGCAGCATGTCTGTTTTTGTCTTTATCCATCAGCTTGTGACCTCTCCTCTTTGTTTTGTCTACTATTCTCTTCTCATTTTATAGTAATCTCTGCATTTTCTCTCTTCATCTTCCTGCCATGGTGTTTTTTATCTCTCTTTTTTTTCCTCCCATGTTTTGGTTCCTCCCTCCCTCTCTCTGACCTCTGTTTCACTCTTCGTTCTGCTATTCCATTTTGCTCTGTGATGGCTGC